TACTACTACTACTCACAAAAGTAGTATGCATGCCGCTGTCTCGTTTACACGCACTGGATGCGTGGCTTAATGAAATAAGACTATACTTTTTGGTAGTTGGCCAATTCTGTGGCAATCATGTATGAGCCTAGTCCACAAAAGTCTAGCCATTGCAGATGATCGTAAACTCCTGATAAAGCGCAGTTGCCCTCTGCAACGGGAAGCTGACCCGAGACGTATCGATGACATTTGCTAGCGAAATTGTATTGCTTAACTTCTTGATGGCCCTCCTTCATGGCTGACAGGCCATTCTGCCTCACCTGTCCTTGTCTGTAAAGAAGAGCCTAGGGTTGCCGATAGACTTCCGGTAGGCAAACTGACAAGAGAATGCTGCCGCCCAGGCGAGTTGAAGTCTCCGATTCGCATTCGGCAATAATTCGATTTGTAGCTTGGTACATGTACAGGTTGACTTGTGCAAAATCAGGTTGCGCGACACATTTTGGGGTATCTTTGCAGTTCATGCATTAGAAATAGGAAGCAGATGAGAGGCAAAAGGAGTGAAGAGAAGAAACTGTCCAAGATGGAGTGTAGAAAAAGCGATTCTCTAATGTGAAGCATGCTTTCGCCGTTGCTAGGCGCATAATTTGGGTCAACGTCAGCATGACTACCTCTTGACCAGAGAAGGCGGAAGAAGAGGGAGCATGATTGATGGGCGAATGGGCCGTGATAACTGCACTGTGGTACAAGTTGTGAGTTCACCTCCTCACCAACCGAGGATGGGGTTGTCGGGGCCAACCGATACTTCAGTATGAATGGCCGAATGACATATCATATAATCACCCTTTTCGTTTATTCATTCACCTCTTCCATTCGTCAACACAGGATTGGTCAAAGTCAGGGGTCAACAGGTCGCTGTGGCAATATAGGATCGAGGCTGCATTCTCGCTTTAGCCCGGATCGATCGGAAATAAGCACAACGTGTACTTCAATTTAAGGGAAATTTACTTATTGCACTTTGTGTTTAAAGGCAATTGTTTATGCATTACACCTCTGACGTTTAGCTCAACTGTTGTTAAAATAAACATCGCACAAAAAGTGCTGTTTAGGGTTGGATCATCTCTTGAAAGACCTTTAATTTTCAAGAAGGTGGGCAAGCATATTAATCATAATAAATGAATTATTTGGCCAAAGGGTGTGTTTACACCAAATATTTAAGTAAAATTGCACCAAGTCAATTTTTTTGCATAAATAAGCGTCCAGGCCAATTGTACATTATAAACACGAGAGGCCAGACGATGTGCTTCTGCTTGAATGGACAATTCAGTCACATGCACGAAGGGGCGGCGAGAACAGCTGCACAGGAGAAGAGGTATTTGTTAGAAAGCACACATTTTACGCGATAAGACGAAGGATACGACTACGAAGATGGGCTGGCAGAGAGCTGCACGATGATGAAGTCAAGCGAAGACATTGACGGTATCCATGGCGAATCACGGTTAGCGCCAGTTGCAGCTCTCCTCTCCGGCCGTGTTGGACTCGAAACTGCCGATGCTTATGCGAATCCTCGTGTCTGCGGCCATACAGGGGAGCAGAGATTCGCACATTTCCATGGCAGTTCTCGCAAACCGGGTCAATTCAAAGTAATGAATAAAGATTCAGAGAGGTGTATTTTATATTGGCAAATTGGTACTAGTTAAACAGCCGAAATAAGTGAAATGGGAAATATATGAAAATGATTTGGATGAGGCATTTTGTATACCACTTTGCTTGCATTGCCCTGGTACATCCAGAACTGGGAGATTTAATTTATACCAAAATTAATGCAAAAATATAATATATATATATAAATAATATATTAATATATATATTAATAATATATAATAATATATATAATAATTATATACGTGTAAAGATGGCATAATCTACACATTTGCAGACATTCTGATTACTGAGGGCCAATTTCTCGGCCTGTATGTCTCTTTGGCTTATTTACACTTGCAAATCGCACATGTTAAACTTGCAAGGATTTGGGAAAACATTTCAGAGTACGCTGCCTAATTGTAGACTTGAGCCTTGTTAACAGGTAAACAAATCTAGGCTGCTGACTATTAACTTCCGGCCCTAAAGTCATGCCAATGTGCAGAAGTATTCATTGAATTTATCGTAAAACAGTGACACACAACGTGTGGAAGCATAAAGATTGACGAATGAAAGATGTGAAAAAAGGAAATTTAAATTGGACGTTCATACCTTCTGGATTTAAGTTTTGTGTCAATGATTTCGAGCAGTTGAATTCAATTATCATCAGGCGGTTCAAAGTGCCAATTGAATAACAATTGAATTGTCTTTGGTGCTATTCTCAATTATTATGAGGCTGGTACATAAAGGGCCCTGCAGAATGGTTGACTAGGATATTGGGGCCAATTGTTGCTAGGCATTCTGTTAGTTAGGCCATAATTGAGGCATATGCAAAGAAAAGTTGGGTTTCGAGGAACATCTTGTTTCATATTTCTTGAGTTTACCTCCATTTGGTGAAGAGATTCAAAAGTCAGTTGCATCAAAAGACGACGGCAGATTCCTCTTGACCAGCTGTCGATTGGCCTTACCGGAACATTCATACTGACGCTGTTTTCGAGGTAATCTCACTCGATTCCGGTGAAAAGGTGCTAAGCTTTCGTCCGTCATGTGACGAACATCATCATCACAACCATATTCAAGTTAACGAGTCAAGAAGAGTCACCGGCTCATCTCTAAAGGGCTGTATGTACACTCTATAGCTGGCCTGTTTGATGAGGTTTAAAGTGATTTGCTTAGTTCCAGTCACATGTCGACCTCGGAGCATGCGAGTGTGCCCGTTTTTGTATGTGTCTGTGCCTGTATATGTTCGCCTGTACAAGAGGCCAGCAGTGATGGCGCAACGTAGTTAGAACTCTTTCGACGTATATTTCCTCAACCAAGAAATACCAGTGGAATGTAAAAATGTCAGAGGTTGTGACGGGGCGTGAGTGGGAGAAGAGTGTAAGGAGTAGGCAGATATGCCAGGACAGAAAGTGGAGTCTTATCACAACCGTTCGGCAGAAAGTTAGTTGAGCGATTGATTGCATTTGTCTCTTTTGACGAGTTGCAGTTTAGTGCTGATGCTGCTGGTGAAACATTTGGGAATGTACCAATTTCATGGTCCGACACTGGCAATTACGACAGTCCCTAAGTCTCTCTGACAGCACGACCAAGTTGCGAAAGCGAGGTCGGCCCGATTCAAGGATGAAGGATACTTATATTAAAAATCTTCAGCCCAAACATTTTTGTCAAAATTATGTTTTCTTACTAACAAAGGTATTTCTGCTTCTTTGATCGTCGATGGCTTCACAATTGATACTAGCATCTAAATCTATTTTCCCCCTTTATTAAGGAATATTGCCTAAATTAACAAAATTACCTTTTATGTCTATCCTTCATGGCCTTCTGGGTCATGTGTTCAACGACTCAATGGCGCCAGGGCCAGGCGTTGGTTGGCTAAAGTGATCTCAACTCTCGAGGCACCGATTTATGAAATGAATGAAGATAAGCTGGG